TAACAGGCAAGAAGTTCCTGCCAGAATGGAAAGCAGCGGGAGGGACCTATAGAGACAGAGCTTGTTAGATGAAGCTGCACATTGTTCAAAGTGGGTGAGTTGACATTGGCATTCCGGCGTACAATGGCAGGCATTTATGTCGAAGATGGGCGGAAGGTATGATAAAGGTACTAACCTCCATTCAATCCGTATCCCGAGGCCATTTTGGAGATGAGGATGAGCTCAATGGGCTGTGCGGGTGGTTGACGAGCTTGATATCAATCGAGGGATGTCGTTGGATGAGAGGCTCGGCATTCGGCGCTAAGCTGCATGCGGTCACGTGGCCTTGGTGGGTAATGAGCTGAAGCCACTCTCTAAACTACTCTAACGCCACAAGATCGAAACCAAACTTCACCGCATACAATTGCCGGCATCAAATGGCGACGCTGTCTGGGGGTTGCAGGTGCATAGTGTAGGGTACAAGGAATGCATTGCAGATCACCGTAATATATGTAAGTAGCTGGAGACTTTCTCACCTTTGGTGCACTATCCGACATTGTTACTGGCTCGCTGGCAACCAACATCGCGGTGCCCCACGTTAGCTTCCACTTCCTTCCAGCTATGATAGCTTCAAGCTTCCCCGCGGTCTAAAAGAGGGCTTTTGGCGATCCTGGGGCGAAGGCGGAACCACGCCGCCGTGTTATCCTTCTTTGTATGTCATCTGGACGCAGGCGCAGGACTATTATCTACATAAGGGATTTCGTTTCCCTCCGTATCCGTTTCCATCACCTCATTATCTCTCCAAGCACATCTCTTTCTCCCATAAGCTTATTTGACGCCGAGAGATCCTGGATTCGGTGACTTACGCGACGCGGCCTGAACATCTCCCGTCTCATCCATCAGCTCGTTTGTCAACAAAGTTCAGAAATTCGGAATTGCGGTGGAAGCTGAAAGGAAGAAGCGCACGTCTCTCTGGAGTACTCGGACTGAACGCTATAAAACGTTTCCTCAATTCTCTGCGCCAAAGTTGTAAAGTCTCTTGTTTCTCTCGTCAACATGGCCACCAACGGGGCAACTAAGAATGAAAGCAATGGCACACACAAGTTCGACCCGGACTTTACCAAGTCGGTGATTGATGCAACGGGGCCAAAGGCCAATCCACGTTTGAAGAAAGTATTTGGAAGTTTAGTGCAGCATCTCCACGATTTCCTTCGGGAGAATGAGGTCACCCTGGACGAGTTCTTTACTGCCATTGAAATGGTAAGTTTATACAAGCATGCAGAAATGGGCAGGTCCTCGATCATGCCAACGAAACCAAGAATTACACTCCTTCTGGACGGACTTTAGAAGCATATTCAAGCACGTTGGCTAACATTTAAACCAGGTCAATTCATGCGGCAGAATGTCAGACGACAAGCGCAACGAGACCCAACTACTCATCGACCTTCTAGGGGTTGAATCTCTTTGCGATGAGATTACGTACAAGCTTGCAACTGATGCACCCGACGCACCCACCGCGACAGCAATCCTGGGCCCCTTTTGGCGGGAAAACGCTCCAAAGCTGCCCATGGATGCGTCAATTGTGAAAAACGAGATCCCGGATGCAGAACACACCTACATATTCGGCAAGGTCACCGATTTTGCGACGGGCAAGCCGATCGAGGGCGCCAAAGTAGATGTATGGCACACTGCTCCGAATGGTCTCTACGAGCAGCAGGACCCAGATCAGCCGGACATGAATCTCAGGGGTATATTCACAACTGGCGAAGACGGAAAATACTCATTCTACTGTCTGCGGCCGACGCCATATCCGATTCCTTACGATGGGCCGGCGGGGAAGCTTCTCAAGTTGTTGGACAGGCATCCAATGAGACCTGCCCACATCCATTTTATTGTATGTGCTCTATTGTATGAGTCAAACCGCATCGTGCGATGTGCTGACATGTGAGCAGCTCACTGCACCAAATTACAAGCCACTTGTAACTCAGATCTTCGACCGGCGAGACAAGTACATTTCCAACGATACCGTCTTCGCCGTCAAAGATTCGCTCGTAGTCGATTTCAAGCCCCGAGAAGGAGATCCGAAGGCGCAACTGGAGCTGCCTTACGACTTCAGATTGGTCAGCTACGAGGCTGCGAAACAGTCCGTTGACGGAGCTACCGAGCTTTCCACTGCTGGGCCGTGAGGGATATTTCGATTACACGATCATGTCTTTGAGCAGAAAAGTGAAATTTGAGCTGCGGGTGTGAAAATGCAGTGCGCGATTAGCTTGAGATGACTTTGGTAGCGAATTCGTCTTGCTGTAAGCAGCCACCAGCTTCACGAGCTTTTATTTGATGCTTCTTGTATGCTCTACTGTAAAGTCTGGCTATGTCTGCCGATGTCCAATGGGTATTCCATTTTGCTCTTCCAATGGCTCCGCACAGGATCATGATCTTCGATCCAAGTTCATTCGCATTAACAGCAATGCTGAGTGCATGAGCGTGCGGAGGGTCGGATCTCTCATCTTTCCGCTGTATCCTACGCGCATGGGCTGCGGGCGCGGGCTGAGAGTAGTGGTAGGAGAGTTTCTGAAGATGCTGGTGGCTAGGATCCAGTGTCGTGCGTGCGCTCATCGTGGCAGCATCGGTCGCCAGAGCTGTGGCGAATAGTGTGTAACTTCATCCATCAAGTCATACAGCAAATCTTGCAAAACTCCTCCTTCCGCTTCAAGCCTCAACAATAAGTCTACTCATGTGACGCCCCAGCCGTCCGCGAGGTCCATTGGCCGAATGAGGGTACGGACTCCCATCCATTTGGGATCGCAGCCTTCGACAAGCGTTGTGTCCGGGTGGATGCGAAAGTCCGATCGAGGCCTTGATAAGGCGAGCTGGTGGCCGCGTCCACTGTCATGCTCCTTGCTGTTGTTCACAATATCAAACATATTGAACAATCCTCGGGCCCTGTCGTCTGTTTCAACAACCTCGTCCGATACCTTGGCATTGATAAACTTGACCATCGACTTCAGGGTGAAGGTGCCGTATCTTATACCATTGGCATACATCGGGAAATGTCTCTCACTTGCTGGGAAGGAGTTGAGGACAGCGAACACAATGTTAATCTCGAGTTTCTGGCTCCACCGATCGGCGAGATATACCCAATTTTCTTCGCGGGTCGTGAATCCATCGAGGATTGGTCCCTGAACATCGTGTACATCCGACTAGTATAGGCCCAGAGTCATCGCCATCCGGTGGAAGATATGCAGCGCCAGCCCAAACACTGATTCCATTTACGAGAAAGCGTCTGCAGAAGTTTCGATTGACTGTTTCTTTGAAAACAGGTGTCCTGTCACGTGGGTCTGCAATCCCTTCGAAATATTTCTTGAACTTTAAACTTGTCTTCCGCGGTCCGTAGACGCCCTCTGCGAGCTAGCGGCGTTGCACTTTAGAGTTCTCAATGAACACCTTCCTGAGGTAAGCAAGATACTCTTCTGAAGGCTCCTTCATATCCCATTGAAGTTGAGCTTTGGTGTATACACTATCCTCTCTTACGTGCCGGCCGTACGGATGGACCTTACTTTCGATAATGCGCGGGAGTTTAATTGTCGCCTTGTGTAGATAGATTAAGCTTTGCCAGAACTCAACGAACCACCTCAGCTTTCGTCTTACGCGTGGTAGTTATGCTACGACTTGATTATAAGCGGATGCATGATGCAATGGGCACACAGACAGTTCTAATGCGTAAGCAAGATGCTTTTGCGCGAGCGAGTATACATTTTGACCACGCTATGATCTTTAAGCTTATCCAGCTTCACTCAACGCCGCAAACAGAGGCCAGTCTGGGCATAACCTAGCTATTTGTGGTGGAGAGTGAGCACATCTTAGGGGACTTTGGCCTGACTCACTCGTTCCTTAGCCTGTCCGCCGCAAGCAGAGCCTTATTGAGCGATTATGAGGTTGGTTCGGCGGCGCGCGCCGCGACTCTGTACATTGAGGTGTTCCTACTAGTGACAGTGTTTAGATAGTTATTGTAAAACTTAGTGACCCAAACGACGGTGTATTATTCGAACTCCGTAATAGACAAATTGCTTTGCAGCTCGGCGGACAGCGTGAGCCCACAGATTAGGGTGGTGAGTATCCAGAGCGTCTTGGTACGCTCCGCCTCAACCCAAAACTGCCCCCATGCATAGACATGCGCGACAAGCGATGACCCAAATGAGGTGCTAGTGTTCCCAAGTTTGTCAGAATGTGTCTTCCAGTACGAGGTATATCCAAAATTGGTAAGAATACCTCTCCGCTCCAGGTACGAGGGGAGGAGCTTCATCCAAGCCGCCAATGAAAGGAAGAGAGGACGGGCGCCTACTGAGTTGCAAGAGGATGTTGAAAATGAGTAACGGAGTTCGAGTAGTCTTTGAAAGTTCGGTTAAACGCGCGGCATAACTGCGGAGAGCGCAGGTCGAATGGAGGTGTCCTATCGTGCGAAGAACTTCAAGAGAAGAACGCAAACAGCTTAAGAGCTTTGCTGAGATTGATGCTAGCTCACAGATAGTAGTACTTTAGAGCTCCGAGACTGATAAATATGCGAAACAATCAAATGATTTCATGCCAAAGCTGGAATAGATCAGGCTCAGATGAGATGGCAAGCTTAACACAGTATTGAGGGTCTCGTCCGTTGTTAGAGGAGTCTTGCGTTCCGATGTATGTCCAACAGAGCTAGATCCAAGTACTGGGCTGGAATATGATGCAAAAGCACTAGAGAGCAGTAGATACATCACTGAAAATGCCAATAACCAAGAAAGAAAAGAGAAAACCGCTTTGCAACAAATCCACAGTGCACCAGTATCCGAATAGAATATGAACTAGGAAGAAACGCAGATGACATCTATCAAACTACCTACGTCACGACGGGCAGCTGTCGTAGTTGCCTTGGCTTGCCTTGAGAAGGTCTATAAGATTCGTTAATCACATTTTGAGGGGTACAACCAAAAAAAAAGAAGTTCGGACGAAAAAACCAAAAATCATCGTAATTCAACCAAAAAATTTAGCTGAAGCCCGTTTCGATCAGGCGACCTCCGGGTTACACGTATGAGCCCGGCGCGCTTCCGCTGCGCCATTCAGCTCGAATTTTCATTGGCTCTATGATTACTAATGTATATATAGGACACTTTTCAATAATTATTTGTTGTGTGCGTTATGTAATCCCGTCTGCCGCATGCGCCCGAATATGCACGTCCCTGACGCTGACCTCTCGAGCACTCACTCTCGCAATAATCTTTTGCATTCTACTATAAAAGCTCGAATATCTTTCCAAGTCTCTGTATTTCTCTCTCAAAGTAAGGGCTGAATAATATAGCGCTACAGAGCCACTCGGATCGGTCAACTTTTTACATATATCACAATGCGCGCCGAGCTTCGGAGCAAAATATCCACCATGGAGCTTTAATACACAGTCGTTTGGGACAACAAGTTTTACGACAATGAGCACTCCGACTCACGATTCGAATTTCGCCTCCCTTGGGATTTCAAGGATCGCCTTACTGATACGCCTGTGGAAACTCGTGCGCACACCATCTACGATCACCCTAATATAATTGGCGACGCAGAGGCTCATAAGCTTCATTTGGGTGATATGACTCTATTGAGAGCTACATTCCCGAGTATCCCAGAGGAGCAGCTTCAGCGACACGCTCAGAATGGCTCTGCAATCGTACGCATCGCTTACTCGGCTCGTATCTTGCGCGTCTGTGCCATCAAGAGGCAGAGCCAGAGGTACCGCCAGAGCCACCGCATGCTGAAGCAGCAACAGCAGCAGCAGTAGCAGCACGTCGACTAACACCAATAGCAAAGTTGCAATCTCCGATGGGCGGGAGCAACTCGTCTATGTTAAAGAGTGCCCAAACTTCCCCGTCGCGTTTAGTGATAGACTGAAGCAGGCCAAGGTGGTCGTTGATACGCGTGTTGTGACCAGGCTTGCAGTACTTGAGAGGAGTATGAAGATTTCGAGCACCATGAGCGACAAGTTTTCCGACTCTGTTCCCTGACCTTCAGGAAACAATGACTAGCTCTGACTGACGGATTCACCTCTTTGCATGGACGGGACTCATGCATACTTATGCCGTCATGGCTTACGGTCTTTACGGCTCTCTTTCAGACATGGTTGTGCCCTTATGGCTTACTGTCTCTACGGCTTGCATTTTCTTCTACCATAGACTAAACAACCACACTCGCTCGAATTGATTTGAAACAACTCTAACGTGCAAACGCGCGACGAAATTTTAACATGATCAGACTTATTCCTCTTTCTCAAGACCTATCGTAAAATAAATGGCTTTCTGTCTCGTATCTAGATAAAAGAGCAAGACGCTCTCAAGCTGCGCCACTCATAGAAGGCATCTCATTTCAAATTCTACAGTCCGAATCTAAAATCTAAAGCTTCTTCTGATCGCTCTCGCTCTCTCACTTCCCGCAGCAGCTTCATTGAACCCTCCAGTTTGAAAGATCTCAGGATGTGTTCGAGGAGATCGCTTGGAGTGTCCCGACGCTCACCCCCACGTCCTCCCTCTCGATCTCTCCTCGCATTGTCCCTGACAATCCACGCTCGGAAGAATGCATATCCAGCCCAAGCAATGGCGACGCATGCAAACGTGACAAAGAAGGGCACCTCATAGCTCGGAGCGAATCGAGGCTTGAACAGCATTGCAGAAAAGACACCGGCCAGATTTCCCCATCCATTTATGCCGAGAACAACACTTCGCTTTCCTGGCTGCGGAATGTTGTTGCTGAGCCATGTCACTTGCAGTGGCGAGGCGATGAAAGAGCCTGAAAGGAGAATGCACAGTGCGACATAGCGAGGGATGACCCATGATCTGGGCAAGAAAACTGTGAGGGTGAGTCCAAAGAGCAGGATGCCAAGTCCAACGAGAATTGGATAGAGCCGTATACGATGGCGGTCACTGTACGAGGTAAATACGTATAGAACCACGGCTCCAAGAAGGAATGGAGGCGCAGTCAAGAGGTTTGTCAAGGCTGGATTCTTTGCTTGCTGAAATCCGGTGAGATCTCCTGGGTTCGCTGGTCGATTCGTCAAGGGAGCTAAGATCAACGGGAGGAATACAGAGAACGCCGAAACCGGTATAGCAGAGAGGATGTTGCAGGCCAGAAGGTACCAAACTTTCCAGTCGAGGAACGCGGAGAGAATGTCATGGCGACTGAGACCGCGGTCATCAGTTACTGCATGCGCGGGGGACGGATGTGTTGCCTGCTCGTCGGCCGACGATGCTAACAACCCTGCCGCCTCTGAGTCGCTCGGTGGAAGTTGATCTGTATTCTCTCCATCCGCTTCAGGGTCGAGCTTCGGTTGTCGTTGAGACGATATATTGGATTGGTCGGCCTTGATTCGCTCTTCCGCCCAGACTCGCTCATCGGGTGACAGGAACCAGGCAGTCTTTGCACTGTGAGGTAACCAGAAGAACCCTGTGAGCGCAATGACAATAGTGGTAGCCCCTTCAACGAAGAACAGCACCTGCCATGACTTCCAGCCGTTGCTCTCCTTTGTTCCTGGATTTGCACCGTTGTTTGGAAACCAAGAGAAGACGAAATAAGAGAGAATGCCACCAAATGCCCCAGCGATGGCAGACTGACCGTAGAAGACGGCAAGCCTGCGGCCGAATTCAAACTTGGTGTAGAACAGCGACAGATAGGAGACCGTCACGGGGTAGAATCCAGCTAGACTGCACGTCAGTTGCGTTCCTATTGCGCTTTCGTGCGACATGCCTTCAAGTGCTCCAATAACCATCCTCAAAACGATCAACTGCCATTTGGTGCGAACCCACACGTGGAGGGCGGTACAAACGCCCCACACACTCATGCAACCTGGGACCCAAATGGACATGCCATAGCGCCTGCCCAAAGCTGCACCAACAGGCTGAAGTCCGACGAAACATGCGAAGAAGATGGCGACCGCGGTATTGAGGTCGCTCTTATCGATGCCAATGTCCGATGTGAAATTAGCAGTTTCCGCATTTCCTACGATGACAATTCAGCACAAGACACACAATGACATGAAATCAATATACCAATGTTTGATTTGTCCAGCGAGTTGAAAAGAAACAACAATGCCAGGAATGGGAGTAGAATGAAATCCAACTTCCGCTTCGTTCGCCTATCCAGGCTCGGATCGATGACATCGGAAGGCATTTGTTGAGTATTGCCATTGATATCTGGAGAGCTCATGGGCGTGTGCCGTTCACCTGATAGTGAATCACTCGCTCTTGCGTCGACCTGGTCAAGTTCATGTTCCTCGTCCACGTCCATGAAAGTTGGAAAAAGGGCTCACGGCAGCCAAGCCCGAGCGCCCCCGAGCGCGATGGTGGTACACGACTTGAGAGACGTTCATCCCATGACTGCGTGAACAGTCGAGTGATGGGAAAGCCGCGTGAGACTGAGTTCACACTCACTAAGAAACCGAATGAGGCTCTTATTGAAGATTACGGATATTTCAGGACTCCGAAAACGGGATGACGCCGAGGCTGACGGGACCCAGCCACACGCACGTGCCGCCACCAATCGCGTCCTGTGCGCCTCTCCCTTTCGAGAGCTTCATCCATTTTCGCATAGAGTGTATATCCAGCTTTTGGACAGTGCAATGTCCATCTTCTCGTCATTTCTGAATGGCCTGATCACTGTGAGCGGTATTTGGATCCCGGCCACACTTGTTTGTGCGATCCCTTGGGTTCAGAGACAGTACGATAACCTGGTTATGCTGCTTCCGATTCCGCCGGTGCCTAACCGAGTATCATCAGATTATTTTACCTCCATTGGGCAAGGCTATGGTGGGGGGTGAGATTGAATATCCCAGAGAGCCTTGGATTTCTTAGTGGCGTGTCCCGTTTCTACAACACGAGCCATTAGATGCTTATTTTTGTGTAGAGAGCCAAGTTGTTCCATTCTATATCCAGACCAAAGATGGCAACGAAGTATATTCCTGGTTGGTCGTGCCAGTAGGAGTCTATGCGAAACATGTCGAAGAATTTCGTCAAGAGAATCTGAAGCTATGGGGCGATGTGAAGGAGAAGCAAGCCTTCAAATGCCTTTTCGAGGACCCCGAATCTAGACTCGTAATTTATTGTCCGTTGGACATGCCACATTCAATAATGTAGAAATGCTGACTTTGTCGCAGTTCACGGAGTACGTATGCCAGGAAATCAGCATGGCAACAATTGATTCTTTCTGCTCCAGAATATCGGAACCATCGCACAAGAGCGTCGAACTTGGGAATACCGCAATATCTCATCCGGTGCATCGAATAAGATCTTCGTTCTCGCATTCGACTATCGCGGCTTCGGTTATTCCAAGGGCGTGCCTACCGAAGACGGTTGCATCACAGACGCCGTTGCAGTTATCCGATGGGCAATGGATGAAGCGAAGATCCCATCGAACCGCATTGTGCTACACTCGCAGAGTCTCGGAACGGCGATCGCCACAGGCGCAGCACACTATTTTGCTAACCTAGAGCCGCGGGTTGAGTTTGCTGGCTTGTTGCTCTGCGCCGGTTTCACGGACGCGTCTGCAGCCTTCCAGAACTTCGGCTTCAACGTTGGCGTCACGCCTCTTAATCCGATGAAATGGTGCCCGCCGCTGCAGCGATGGTTTGGGAGGCGGCTCACAGACACATATAGGACATCTGAGAAGCTCGCAGATCTGGTTCGGAAGAGCAACAGGGTCAGATTATCGCTCATACATTCCATGGACGACGGGATCATGCCCTGGCAGCATACGGAAGAGCTATTCAAGGCAGTGTTGCAAGATTTAGAGCCTTCCAGAGCAGACTTGGATAATAGGATACATACTATCGATCTGGGAGAGGGCGGGTTTGTGGAGACATGGTCATTTGAGGACAAGATCATCGCGAAAGAGATTGCAAAGGACGGAGGTAAGTGGCATAGAATACAAGGTTCTCCGTGCCCCGCTGATGGTCTATACAGGCCATGACACGATCATGATCTGGTCGCCCATCGCTTTATCGATTCTTCGGACCTTTGAGCTGGAAGGGTTGTCGTTGCACAGCGAGACGAGGATGACGGGTCTGAACGGGTCAACCACTTGAGCGTGGTGATTGATA